TAAAAATAAGACAGAGCTGGTATGAATTTTAGTTGTTTGGATTAAGGAAGAGAAGATTGAGTATAGGCATACTAAATCTTCAGCAACACAAAAACCAGAAAGAGAGTGAAGGAGTAAGTTATCTTGAATGTCTGTTATGGAGAGAACAAGAATTAGGCCTTTAAATTATAGAAAGATAAGATGCCAATTAGAAAGTACAAAGTTTGGGGTTTTTTTAGCAGGAATCATTAATTACTGGCACGAGCCATGGAAGAGATGTTGGTAGGTCTTACCACAACCCAGTGTAGCGATGTGTCTGTCAGGAATTACATAGATTTGGTTGATCCTGCCTTGAACTATGGAAATGAACTAGTATATCCTTTGATCCAAGTTTTTCTATGAATTTTTCTAGAACAGTTTTCAGTACTTGGGCCATACACATTGTTTGAGTCCTAGGGGAGAATATCCAGCCAAACTCTGATAAATCTTTGATGCTAATAAGCCTAGATTATGTCTTGGCATTCTGTAGTTCCCTTTCTCTTTTGCATGGTGAGGCTGGGAAATTGACTTGTCTGGATAAGATTAAAGCCAAAGACTCTCAGTACAAGTTAAAAGCCAATAAACTTTCAAAATGGGACAAGCTGCTTAATTTCTTGGAGTACAACTTCAGCCCACAGCTATGCTAGCTATTTGCTTTCCTCCTCCATTAGGCTCAGGACTGTGAATGCTGGATTGGGATAATTTCATAGTGTTTTTGTTATTCAGCTGAAGTAATTGACTTCTTTATGGTCAACTAACTTGACCTTGGTGTTATTCTGTTCAGGTAATTCATAGAAGAGTTTTTTAAAAGTTGCTTTGTCTCACTCTGTTTTCCATTTTCCAGTAGGAATCTTAAACCTCTTTCTCTTGATGTTTCTTTGTGGTTCTTAATTTCAACTATGGGAATCAGAGCATCAGTCAGATCTCTTCCTCTGTTTTTTCCTCTGCATGTTTTACCTTTTTCTTTGCAAGACTAAGCTGTCTATTGATTTATTGTTGTGACAGTAGTCTTTCAGAAGACTAAGAGATGCTTGCCACTGGCACTGGCAATAGTGCTGTTTCTTCTGCACTCCACAGTGTTGATAATATTTATCATGAATGATATCATAACACATTAAGTCTTCTGAGCCTAGGAAAGCAGAGCAAAGTATGACCCTAATAAATCTCAAAGACACTCTTACTAGATTTACAGTCTTTGTGCAAAAATATGAAACTAGTGGGTTAGCTAGAATTAAACCTACTTTGAACTGCAGAGTGGAGTCATCAATGGAATAAAATACATGATCCATGCAAGGTCTGTCTTTAGCTTTGAAGTTAGAGGGGACTCCTGAAAATATTACCATCACTTTGTGAATCCTTTGATCTTTTTGACAGTGTCTCTTTAAGTCTTTGCATACTTCATCCTTAGAGCTATTGACTTAAAAAAAAAAATCCCTTCTGAATGCTGCTGTTTCTGTAAATAGGCTAAATGAGCTGGCAACTGTCTTCTGTTGTTTATCATTTTCAGGTTCCTTGTTTTATTGTGTGCATAAAGACAGAGAATTTTTTACTTTCCTTATAAAGTCTTTCCAAGATGTCACTGTAATTCATAGTTATTAAGTCACGGATTTTATCTTTCACTTAAAAAAGAAAAAAACACCAACTGCCCTGCATTTACCAAAAACACTCTAAAAATTTAATTGAAAAAAATACAGTTTTTGTCTTAAGGCTGTGGTTGCCAACTGAAGAGCACAGACAGTTAGGAGGCTTCTGTGGTTGTATATGTCTGATAGAATTTATTTGGGAGCCTCTTCAGCTGGAGCGAGTGTATTGTTTTGTCTGAAGATAGTTATTCCCTGCAATGGGCTGAAAGGAAACCGTGATGAGAAGAGAGGGAGAGAGCTATTCAGATTCTTTTGCCTGGCACTATTAGGTTGATTTTCATGCTTCTAAAGATGTGGCTTTTGGCTGTAGAGCAGTGAAAGAAACAAACTTTCAGTACAACCTGTCTTTCTGCATAAATTCACTTCAGACATGTCTTTGAAATGCTGTTCTTTCCAGTGTAACAACAGACCACCTAATTTGGTAGGCAGTTCTGATAGCAACAATTTGGCAGCTGAAAATCTCAGGCTTGCTCATTCTTGCCTAGACAATTCCCAGCATTGTTGTGCGTCGTGCAGTTTAACCTGGTAAAAACCGGTGGGTTTTCTATATTGCATTCCAACACTGGAACTGTAACTTGCATAATCACACCTCTGTCACCTCTGTAATAATTATTTTGGTTTTTGGTAGTTATGTAGCCCTAGAACAGCTAAAGTATTAACTCAAGCCCAAGATCAGGGTTGTGAATTCTTGATTGCATATTGCTGCATTGTGATTACCCTACTGTTTAAAGCTTGCCTATATCTAAGCAGTAATCCCACCTTTGTACTGATTTGGAAAACTGGTTTTGAGTGAGATGTAGAACAGATGTAAAATAATAAAACCTCAAATGTTTTCCCTTCAGTAAATTGCAAAGATGAAAAAATTTTTGGTGATGGTGAGTCTTCCATTGTATATAAGATATACCTATATTTCAGTATAAGGCATTTAGCTATATGGAATGTAATTTTTTTTTTTTTCCTGAGCCACCATTATCCTAATTTTTTTCTCCATATTTTAGTAATTTGGAAATTAGCTGGAGAGTTTTATTTGTTTCAACGCTGCTTTTCTTTCCTTCACAGGACAGTGGAGTCTCTGTCTAGGGACTTTAATAAACAGTCCAGTAAAATCAGTCTGCATGTCAGTGGTTCTTATGAAAATTATCTTTATAATTAAGGTGTGAATTTAATTTTGAGTTTCAGATGATCAATGACATAGCTTAAATTGTAAGTAGCTTTTAAGTATGTCACAGAATACTTTGGAGGATACTGTTCTTACTGATTAGAGTATTAATTGAGCATATGTAAAAAGACAGTGGAGACAGAAGCAAAGTAATATTTATCAAAGCTAAATGTAGAGCTGAGAATATAAACTGGTCTTTGTCTCCAAGGACTTTGACTCCCAATGTCTCATCCATTAAATTGGTATTGCCTGTGCAGTATCTACTAGTTCCCGTCTATATGCATTCCAGTGTCCCACGAATTTCTGCAAGATGAATCTTCCTGCTTTCTCATACAAGGTCACCCACCCCATGGTCTCCAGTTACCCTGATCTGCTGTCATCCTTTCTCCCTTTCTTTGTGGACTCAAACTCCTTTCCGTGTGTCCGAAATTTTCTCAAGTGTTACTTGTAAACATCCCAGTATTTATTTCTTGTTCTGACTTGGGGCCAATCAAATATTCGTCCTTAGTTTGGTTTCAGGACCGATTATGAGAAAATAAAGCAGTTCTATTTTTTGCTGTGTCTTGGACCTTCAACTGATGGTTTGGCAAAGTTCATATGGTTTCCTCTTTTGTACTTAGCCCTTGATTTGTCATCATGTTGAAGTTTGTTCCTGCATTCTTGGGTTAACTGAGATTTTAGAACAGTTCATTCTCTTTTCTTTAAGATTAGCATGTTGCTGTTACTTTTCCATATGCATTTTTGCCCATTTAGTGTTCAGGACTTCTGTTTTCCATTTGGTACAATATTCTTCTGTATTTGGGTGCTAAAACATACTTGGTAACCAGCTTTCCTTCCTTCATGTAAATTACAGGAAATAGTCCTGCTTGATTTTTTTTTTTTAAATATTTTTTGAAGATCTGCCTTTTTGCTTTCCATCTATTAACAGTTCTGCAAAATGTATCTGCAAAGATTAGGAAAACAGGAATCTAGTCTGTGTGACACACTTGTCTCCTAGGTGCTATTAAACTATTTTTATTTCACTTGTGCTATTTAGGTTTCTACTCCTTCCACACAAGCTTAAACTGTGTATAAAGCACTTTAGGAAGCTTTTTTTTTAAATTTGGTTAATGCTATCCTGGTAAGGGGAGAGTGACCTGTACTCTCAAGTTATAATAATTCAGAGGATATGTTAAAAACTTTAAAGTTTATTATTTTTTCCTGTAATAGGAAAAAATATGATAGTTAGATTTTGTGATGTGATAAGCACTTCAAGTTCTAAAGAACTAGTTGCAAAAAGTTTTCATGTTTAAGTGCACCCAGGTCTTCCGTATCACAGCCTAATATTCTGAAATTAAGACCTCCATTAATTTAATGTTAAAGATACTCCTTTTTTTAATACAAGCGGAAATCCAACAACTTAAATGTAACAAATAATGTGTAGGAGTGCAGATCTTAAGAGATTTACTTGTTTTGCGCAGTCATGATATCACTTCCAATTAAAGGTTGTTTTATTTTGAAGTATGAGGTGTACATCAGCTGAGACTAGATAATGTAAATTTGTCAACAATTCCTGTGTTGCTTTTTCATAGTGTAGTGATTCCTTTAGCAATATATTTTATATGTTTAATGCAAGAATTTAAGTTGCACTGCCTTTTTCCTATATTGTGTCTCTCAGTGTAGACTACTATGGAACGAGACTTAAAAGCAACGATGCAGTTAAGGCTGATGAAAAGAGAAACCGTCTGTTTCTAAATTTGTGTTATCAAAAGAGTATATTGTGTCCTATCTGTCTTCTCATATTTCTCCAAGACAGTGTAACTGTACTGTACGCTACAGATCTCTTTCTCTTTAATATTTTGATATTTTGAAGAGTAATTCTGTATTTAAAATAGTGTCTCTTTCAAAAATAGAAATTAAATAAAGATATTCAAGAGACCTAAATGCAGTCAAAACAATCAGATAATCTCTGAAGTTATGTCAGGAAAGTTTCACGATATCTTCAATCCATCCTCCCAGAAGTGAAAGTTTTAGGGCTGGTTTACTTGTTTGGGGAAGGAGTTTTATTTGGTTTATTGGTTATTTTGTTCTCTCTGTGTGTAGTATATTTCCTATAGTGTAGTACATTAAGCCTCAATTTTTTAAAAAAATGACTGAAGAGATGCAGTTTTTCCAATCTACAGCCTGTTTTCTTTCCTCTTTTCAAAGTCTGGCTGCAGTTGTGTAAGCCTGAATATGTGAAAGGTAGGTAGATTAAATGCATTCCCTGATTTTACAGCCTTAATTGGATTGTTTTGCCAGCATCACTTTAAGAGAAGCAAGGACATTGAAGAGCTTTCCAATAATAGTTGTCCATTGTTGTCCAGACACAAAATTTTCAAAAATATTCTAGGGAAACTGAAAGTTGAATGTGTTTTTCTTTCCAGCATTGTCCTGAAGATCTGCCACATATTAACACTAAAGTACTGAGATAATAAGCCAGTGGTTTTGAAATAAGAATCAGGAAGAAGAGAGCTTAATATCAGTGCATTTGATATAACTAACAGATATAACTGATGCTGGCTAGGGGCAAAATGTAAGAATCTTGCTGAGTAGCCAGTAACCTTGCTCAGCTCTCTTGTGCTTGGAAAAGGCAAGACTAATCTACTGGATTTATTTCAGGTAGTTTTTGGACAAATGCAATTCAACACATAAGCTTGTCAGGACCAGCCATATATATAAAAATTGCAAACACAGAAGGATACAGACACTTTAGCTAGAAGGAGTCACCTTTTGAATGTACACTCTGGTAAAATATGCTTAGGAGAAGAGTTTAATCTGTTGAAGTCTTAAAACCTGCAGTGAAAATTGAAGTCTGGCTGAGAACTTGAAGACATGCCTGCGTTTAATGGATTTATGAGCTTTTGTTGCACCATACAAGTAACCTAAGAAGCTGCTTTTCCTTGCAGGTGTAAAATGAATTACTCTAGGTTTCAACTTGCTAGTTGCTGATTGAGATTTATTTGTTGGCCTTGAATTTTTTTGGCATTTGTTTTGTTCTCTGTATTTCCCTTTTGCATTGAAAAGTTAGTATTTAAGCCTTTTATTTATTACTGCTTTGAATTTCATTTATCCCACAGCTGACTTTTGTCTTTATTTCTAAGCATTCTGTCTTAAGGGACATGCACAACATCCCACAAAATAGTATAATCTTCTTTATGCTATTTCTAGTATTCCATAGCAACTGAGGGGAAAAAAAAGAGACTAAACTGAACACTACAACACAGGCAATTCATTACAGATTTTCCGCTTAGTATTCAGTAAATTGTCAAGTCCTTATTTTCATCATTAGCATATTTTTCACAGAGCAGAAGCATAGCCATTTCTGGCAGACTGAATTAAATCTGTTTTACTTGAATGTGAAAGAAGAAAACATTGTCAGGCTTTCTATGAAAGCATCATTTTCTAGTAATAATTTATTTCTCTGGAACAGTTTGCTGTGGATGTCTTTATGTTTCTATAAAGATATGGGTGTGTATGTTTCAGTCTACCTGTAATTAAACCATTCCTTAGCTGTAGGGGAAAAAACAGAACAATCTGTGAGGTTTTTTTGGGGTTTTTTTTGTTGTTTTGTTTTTTGTTTGTTTTGGAGGGGTTGGGTTTTTTGTATTTTTTTTTGTTGGTTTGGGTTTTTGTTTGGTTGGTTTTGGTGGGATTTTTTGGGGGGCGTTGGGTTTTTGTTTTGCTCCTCATATTGCGCGAACTGAGAAATTTACTAGTTCTCTGTTAGAAAGATTGATGTCTATGCACTGGCACGTTTAATTTAAAATTTTGTAGTACATTTTTATAGAATCAAGCCCCCAAAAAAGCCTCAGAATTTCACTGTCAGAGCACAATGAAAAAAATCAGGTATAACTATCCAGAAAATTTTTTACATACATGAATTTCTTTTCTGTCAGTAAGGCTGACTCGTAGCAATTCCATTTTATTCAAGTCTCATAGATAGTCTTAATTACTGTGAAATTAAATTACGTGCATCCTTGTAATTTCAAAACAGAATTTAAAAAGTGCCTGAACATATTTTGCTTGCTTATGTACTGTCATGTGAAGTAAAAATGTTTTATTCAAGATCTGATTTTTCTTTCAGCAGTTTAGAAAGCTGTCTTCTTTTCGTAATCCCAATGAACTCTGCATTTGTCATCGAGTCTGTTTTATGATAGCTGTATGCTAGAACAAGTCATTGTGTGGCTGACAGATATTTACAATACTAAAAGAGAACTGGGGACCAAAATGTGTATCTCAAAGGAAAGTATAAATAGAAGAACTTAAAAACTGCATGTATGAAATTGTGTTTTATGGGCTTGAGCATATAAATAACACCTACAGACACACATTCACCACTGTATATGTGCACATGCCCTTACATGCATATACATTACAAATCACAAAATTATAATCAAACACATCCTTTGCTCAGTTATTACCAAGAGCTGAGTATGGGAAAGAGCTCAAATGATCCTCAAGAACTGTTTTGCTGTTTGCCCTCAATAGCTAAAAGAGGACAAGTTGATCTCTCCCTCATTTCCTTTGGTTTTCGTTGTATTTGTAATATGAGGAAAGGAAAATGGGTTCTAGTAGCTCTTTTCAGTAAGTACTACCTCCCAGCAAGAAAAAAACAAGTGCACGTAGCTGATTTGCCCTATTTAGGATCTTGCAGCATTCATTGCTCCTGCTGCATCATTAATGTTTCAATGAGGTTGCTTAAGATACAGTTATTTTCTGTCAGAATCCACAGAGATACACCAGAGATTCACTGGCATGCTTATATATTTAATTAACAAATAAAACAAGTGTGGGATCCAGACAACTATTCTCTCTCGTAAGTGGTGCCTAATTCTTGCTATTCCTTCCTTTCTTTTTTTTTTAATATTACTAATACACCTGGAGTTTTTGTTTTCTAGACTGCTAAATACATTAGGTAAGCATCATCAAACAAGAAATCATTGTGTAAAAAATAACATGTCCTCTATAGTCATTGCAAAGAAAAAAAAAATCTAAACCCTGTAATTAATAGCAAGAAGGTTTTTGAGAAGATACCTTAAAGAATATATGACAAGCAGGAGGTTGTTGTTTCACTTTTATTTATTACTTTGTTTTGTTTAAGACTGCTTGTTTTCCATCAGGGAATCTTTCCTTGGCCAGTGAAAATTCAGCAGTTTCAAAGTATATTTGTACTCCTAATTGTCTCTCCCCTTCATCCAAAGGCAACACCACTAAACTCAGTGCAATCATTGACCTTTCTCTGTTTGTACTAGTAGCTGATAGAAATGTAATCTATTGCATCAAAATACCATTCAGTTAAATGATATACTGAACTATATAAACTAGGATTATTTGTGCCCAAGCTACAATCCAGAAATTAATGACATGATTGATACTGTCAATTAATTTGTATTGAAAATTAATTCAATTTGTGTTGAAAACAGAAAGCAATTTTGGCCTACGACTGAATTTTTTTTGTGATCCGCATTATTTAAGTTTCTTTGGTATATGTGGCTCAGCTCCTTCATTCAAAGGGACTTTAATAAAGACTTCAGCAAGCCTCCTTTCAGGTGGAATGATGTGGCTATCAAAAATGGCTAGTTTGAAACTTTTATTTTTGTTATCAATGCTATATTTTCAAAAAATATTTGATGGTCTCTTTTGTTATAATTTGAAAACATTGTATGTGACATTTTGAAATTAGATTGACTTCTATTTATAAGTTAAATAGAAACTTAAGTTTCCCAGTTCCAGACTTAAGGAGCTGTCTTAAGTCAAAGAATAATAAGGAAATCTACTAATAGACTAATTTGCAACAGCTGGCATAAGTTAAAACACAAAATAAAAGTATCTGCTTGGTCCTTTGAGGGAAGGAAAAAAAGTTTTACTATGCTGTTTTGCCAAGTTAAACTCCCTTACGTACTACAACTTAAACATTTCACATCAATTCAAATATTTTAATTTGACACAATACAATAAATCATACATTGCTGTATTTTTAAAGGTACAGGGTGTACTATGGTTGCCCATTCTGTGTTTAGGCTTTTCTTACAGGCAAGGGCTCTTCACAAATATATTTTATGCATATAGTTGGCATGTATTAGTCAGCAAAGTTGTAGTAGTTACATTTATTTTAATGTTTAGGGTAAAAGTATGGTCTCATACAGCTATTTTTCTAGGAATAAGTATTACTAGAAAACAATAATCTGCTTCAGATCTAATTTTATTCATGATTACTCCCAGCTTCCTTACTCTTTGTATCAGTTTGATTTTCCTGCCTGTTTTGGTGATTGAGTAAAACATTCTCAAGTTTTGATTGACTCTTCAAGTACAAAAAAAAAAGGGAAAAACGTTCTGTAAGGAAAGGAATTATTCTTTTTATGAATTTATTCTCTCACATTACATGACAGACTTTAGAATTTATTCTTTTTCAATTGAATGTGAATTGAAGGTGTAGAAATAGGTTGTTCTTTTATGTCCTAGGTTTCTCTTTTTTCTCTTTTTTGGATTGGTTGCAATGTTTTATGTTAAAAATAAACATGTGGCTTCTACACAGTTGTGCCAGAATTTGACATTTAGTTTTCAAGATTCTGAATTCCTTCAGTTAGAAGTTATGTCCTAATTGAAAACTGGAGAGAAGGAACAAAGAAACTGTGGCGATGTTCCTGAACTTTGGTGAACAAAAAGGTATAAGATATGGTGCACTTTCATTGGTTTTGAATGGAAATGGACAAAACTAAAATTAAATTTAGGGATTTCAATTGTTCTTGCTTCATAAAAAAAGGTTTATTATTATTTTGTATTTCTGCTTTAAAACAAATATGATTCTTTTATCAGAACAGGAAGTTACAGGATGAAGGTATGGACAGCAGGAGAGAAAGAGAGAAGGCACTGGGTGAAGAGGAAGGTATAGAGAAGAGATAGGAAGCAAATACAGAATATGGGAAAGTAGAAAGATAAAGGTGAGAGGAAAGGGAAATAAAAGATGATGAAAAGACAGAAGTGTTCATGCCAGTGCTCTGGCAATGTGGGGCTGCAGGGCCAGACACAGCCTTGTGGCTGAAGTAGTGGTGCCTCTGGGGTAACACGTTTAAGAAAAGCACTCAGGCAGAAGGGGAGGGTAAAAAATAGAGTGTGGAACAGTGATGTGAACACCAAGGCCAGAGAAGAATGAAGGAAGGAGGCACTCTGGGCACCAGAGCAGAGGATCCCTTGCAGGCTGGGAGGGTCACAGCAGGGCAGATATCTGCACTGCAACCAGTGGAGGACATGATGCTGGGACATTTGGCTGTTTCCTGAAAGAGGTGCTGCCCACAGAGAGTCCAGGCTGGAGCAGACAAACTGTGAGGAGGAAACAGTGGCAGAGAGTTGCTGGCAGTTGTGGACTGAGTGTAACCCCTATCCCTCAGTGTGGGAAAGGTAGAGGAACTGGGAATGAAGGAGGAAGGTTGACCCTATCAGAAGAAAGCTGTTGTTTTAATTTCTTTCTTTCTTTCTTTTGGTTGTTTTGTCTTTATTTCTCTCTACCCAAATCCTTTTTAATTGGCAATAAATATGTTTTCATCAAGTCAACTCTGTTTTGTCTTTTACTGTAACTTTTAAGCAATCTCCATGTCTTTATCTCAACCCACAGGTTTTTCATCCCCTCTTCTCCCTGTTTCCTGTTGGGGAGGGGGAGGGAAAGGCTGGGTGGGCATTTGGCTGCTGGCCAAGCAAACTCACCGCAGGAGGAAAGAAAGGAAAAGCAAGGGAGAAAAAGAGATAAAGTAAAGAGAAGAGAAATGAGAGGAATGAAGATAGAAGAAAAAAAAGTAAAGAAAGGAGAAGGAAAAGATAAATGAAAAAGAAGAAAGAAAAATAAAACTGAAAAAAGAGAAAATAAGAAAGCAAGGAGAAAAGAGGGGTGAATGAAAAGAGAAGAGAGGAAAGGAAGAGAGAAAAAGATAGAAAATAAATACAGGAAAACAAAAGAGAAAACAATGAAAAGAAAGCAAGTAGAAAAGAAAGAACAGAACACAGAAAAAGAAGGGAGTGAGAGAAGATGAGAAGGAAAAAAGAGAGAAAGGGGAAATAAAAATGAACAGTGGGAGAGAGAAGAGAAAAAAGTGAGGAAGAAAAATAGAAGAGTGAGTAGAAAAAGGTAAGGGAAAGAACTGAAGAAAAGCAGACAAAAAAGAAAATAAGAGCAAAAAGTAATGAAAAGGAATGAAGTCCAAGCAAGTTCACAGTGGTTGAGGAATCTGTAGCTGAATGCTTTTAGCAGCAAAGTTAAAATTTTTAACTGACAGAAGGAGTTCATATGTGGTAACCAAGACCCTGAAAATTATTTTCCATCAAGTGGTAAAATCCCTGTATTAAAATAACTCAACTTTGGTTTCAGCATTGCTGTTTAATGAACAGATACATTATTTCCAGGTAAAATTTTCCAAAGAAATTGTAATAAGCATTAAGAACTCTCTTACTGATTTGCACTGATTACTTAGGTGGGTGGGTGGTGTGGCTGAAATGGCATAATAAACTCTGGCAGGCCAGCATGTTGGCATGCACCACTTTTTAAGAAGAGGCAAAGTTACAGAACAAGTTTAAGTGGGATCACTGAATAGGATTTTTGATAGTAAAAAATAAAGAAAAAAGGAAATCGGTTTAAGTTCAGCGTAACAATTTACTTTCATGCTGTTGTTTCTATTAAGGAGGAAATATTGTTTAATAAAGTACTGTCATATTACTGCCTGGTAGCTCAACATTCAGTAACATATTAAAGATTTAAAGATTTCTGATATGAAAAAATAAATCCATAATTCTCATAAAATATAAAGAATAGTTTTAAACTGTGTAGTACTTAGTAAAGTTCTTTATATAGTACTTTGCTTGGCAGTACTCTTTTATTATTTCCTTAAGTGGTTAAATCTTGACATAATTTAAACGTTTTCACTGACATACATCACATGCCTTTTAGAATTAAATTTGGGTATATCTTAACAGCATGTTGTTCATTGCCTTTTGTGTTTTGTTTTCATTACTGGGGGAAGGTAAAAGGAGATGTATGTTCATAGGCCCATCTTCCAGTTTTATAAATTTAGTTGCAATTGGTTTTAGTGGCAGCAACTGGGAAATTGCACCAAAATCATGTGAGAGAGTCAGGAACATGACAAAAGGCTCCAGCAGAGGAGCACGTGGGCATGTGGGGCTCCATCAAGCTTGGTAATTCTGCTTTCCCTCAGCAGGGTGGTACCCCCTCCTCTCCCCTCCTCTGTGTCCTCTGGCGCCAGATGCAGCAGCCCAAGGGGTTACGGCTGAGGCGAGCCAGCTGCATCTGGCACGTAGGTTGGGAGCGGCTGGAGGGAGCGCGGTGCCGTAGCTGACAAAAGGTGAAATACAGGCCTTGCTCTGAGGAGTCTGAAATGGGAACCACTTGTGTCAGTCTGAGGCCATCCTTCTCCAGTTACTGTAAACCAATATTGTAGCCGAAAGAATAATCCTGTTTCTCTCCAAGCTGCTTTTCCTGTTCTGGGCTGCCCACCTCCCTGGATGCTGGCACAAGCACTCACATGGCTTTTGGGAGAAATAATCAAGTTTTAAATAAAATAAAAAGGGGTTTGGGGAGGTGAGCATGTCATGGAGATAGGAACATGTGGTCTGCTTTATAGGGAAGCCACTCAAGCTGCTGTTTTGAGGGGCAGAGCTGATAGATCATGACATGAGTCCAGTATTAGTCCTGGTGTAAACCTTGCTGGTGAAAGCAGAAACTGCTCTATGGCCTTACAAAAAGGCACAGAAATGCACTATTGCTGCCATAACTGCAGGGTGGTGTCTTGTAACCATTACAGCTGTGGTAACAGAAGTCCCTGCTGTGGATGATAAGAAAGGCTGGAAATTCTTCTAATCAATCAGGGGAGGAGTCTGGCTGGAAGCTGTGACTTGCATCAGGATTATGGTCCTGGTATAAGCATGATAAAGCAGGAATCCTACTCAGTCTTCTGAACTAGGCCTGGCTCACAGTGGTTTTCTGGCAACACTTTGTTCTTCCTTTTTTCCCCTTTTTCATTGTACAACTGAGTTAATGAAGCCACTGTCAGATGCTGCATGGGCTTCCTCTGTGGGTGGTGCAGCAGCTCAGAAGTCCTGTTGTTCTTTTGCAGTATATTTTGTCACTTTGTTGCAGATCTCCAGCAGAGGCAGCTAATCAGAGAAGGAGCAGTTGCTGCAGTTTCCAGGCTTCTTGAGCAAGCTTCAGGGAAATGCTCAGGTGACAGAGGACACATCCATCAAGTCCAAGTCTGGCTGCATGACTGGTGTCACAGGCAAAGCCATAGCATCCCCTTTGAGGAATAGCGACTACTGGATAGGGACAGGATTCATAAGATGGAGCGTGGCAAAGGCATCTTTGCTAACAATCTGTCTTCTTTTCTGGAGGGCTTTGAAGCAGCTACTTAATGTGAAGGTTGCTGGAATTTGAAGAGAAGTAAAGGCACGGGGAGCATCATGGAAGGGTCTGGGGAAAAATACAATCAGAGAAGTGTACTTTCTTTATGCAGTCTCTGCACACTTTCAGGGCACCTTAGGGTTACAAACACAGGTGGAGCTAATGCGCACAGCAGGATGCTCCTGTGCATAGATGGAGGGCTGCAGGCTGACAAAGAAGGGCAGTGCATGCAGGGAGGGTTGGGAGTGCACAGTACTTTGCCCTGGAATGAGTGCTGAGCCTGAGGCAGAACAACACAGCTAGTGCTGGGGTAAACATCTGCTGCTGACCATCTGGCCAAGAAGTAGATGGGGCCTTAAAGTAACTGCTGGGTGCCTTGCAATTGTTGCAGACCATAGTGGTTGTGGGGGATTTAAGCAAGCCAGGATGTTCCTGAAATACAATTTCTTGATGCAGGTGATGGACTTGTTACATGTGAGCAAGGAAGGTCTGGTTGAATGTATGAAACTTGGTGTTCTCCTTGATCAAAGTATGGACAAAAGGGTCTAGCAAGACTGTTTCATCTTCCTTAGGGAATGAGGACGGTTCATTATAATGCACAAAAAACCTAGCAGGTGTGGCAGAAAGCCAGTAGGAGTGAGAAGAGGCAAATCGTGCCCAACCAGCCTCTTCACCTTCTATGTTCAGATGACTGGTTCTGTGCATGAGACAACAGCAGTGAATATCTTTTACACTGACTTCAGCAAGACATTTGGCATCATTTCCCATAATATCTTAAGAGCAAATCAGTGACATAGGAACTTGATAAGTGGACAGTAAGGTAGATGGAAATTTGCTTTGACTTCAAGCCCCATTTTGATCAAAGGTGCTAACTCCAGTAGGTGACTGGTTACTTAGTGGTGTTCACACATTGATACTGAGGCTGTTACTGGTAATGTGGCTGTTAAACACCTAGAATATGGGACAGAGTGCACATTTAGCAGGTTTAGAGAAAGCAGTCCGTACACTGAAGACTGGGCTGTTGTTCAGAGAGATCTAGACAGCAAAGACCTGTGCTAACAGGAGCCGTGTGAAATTCAACACAGGCAAGAGCAAACTTCTTTGTCTGGAACACAGTAATCTCTGGTGGTATAGGCTGGGGGCTAACAGGGCAGGAATCAGCTTTGCAGAAAATTACCTGGGTGTCCTGGTGGTTAACAAGGCAGCTATTAGTCCATCAATGTGCCCTTGCATCAAAGAAGGGCAAGCCCATGTTGGGCTGTGTTAGCAGGACTGTGGCCAGCAGGCCAGGCGAACTGGTCCTTCCCCTCTGTTCAGCACTTGTGAGTCCGCATTTGGAGAGCCATGTCTGGGCCCGCTATTCCAGGAAAGAGGTTGGTACATCAGAGTCCACTGTAGGTTCACCAAGGTGGCTGGAGGCTGGAGCATATGGCATATGAGGAGAGGCTTGTTCACACAGCAGAATAGAAGGCTCAGGGTGATCCTGTGACACTCCACTGCTAACTGATGGGAAGACAGATCCAAGCTTTTCTTGGAGGTTGCATAGTGACAGCACGAGAAGCAAAGAATGAGAGGCAGCAGACACAAAATGGAACATGAAATATGATTTGATACTAAGAAAAATACTTTCCCAGTTAGAGCAGATAAGCATGGGAGGGAGGAAGGTTGTCCAGGGAGGCTGTGAAGTCTCCATTCTTGGAGATTGCACAAAACTTGAGTGGACAAGGCTGAGATCCAAGTGGCCCTGCTTGGAGCAGAAGGCTGGACTAGATAACTTCTGGACGTTTCTACCAGTGTAAATTGTATATGGGCATGAAACTTGGTGGGGCTTGAAACTTGGGGCTGAATGTTCTTAAAAATAGCTGTAACTTTTTTTAGGGGGGTGAGGAGGTGTGGGTGGGGTGGGTTGGCATGTATTTTTTATTTTGCATTTGACTAACCAGTTGTATATCAGTAACACATACACACACACAAGATATTCTTAAAACAGGGAAAGTTATGGAGACTGGCCAATTAAAAAGCCAAATTAAACAAGAGAACTTGGGATAATTTCATACAGGTCCCTTGTGTAGAGTGATTAAGTTTTAGAGGCCAAAAGGCATTCAGTGATTATTGACTATGTCTTGTTCAGCATAGTCACTTTA